ACCAGACAACCGAATTGTTCTACAGATGAAGACTGTTATACAAGGCAAACAGACAACCGCACTGTTATACAGATGAAGGCTGTTATACGAGACGTGGAAGCTTCCCCTGTCATTTATCACTGTTATATACGCAACACAATCGTGATGCAAAGTAAAATAATTGGTTAAAGTTTGAATGCGGGAGGTAAGGCTGACTCAACATCCCCAATCCGGCAACGTTGATGCTAAACCTCCCACTAAAAGGATCCAAATATTCAAAAGTTGACAGTAACTTGGCCTTGTTGGAATTACATATTCATTGAGATCGTCAAACATAGAGAATCCCTTTCTGCCTACTGGTTCCTGAAGACCGTCCTCAGTGCCTTCCCATAGGTCTCTAGCATTCTGTAAACTACTAACGTCTGGTCGTTCGGATCTTGCGCATCGTGGAACTCGATATTCTCCAGATCATTTAGCTCGTATCTCGAGTTGGCGTCGAACCTGCAGTTACTCAGAGCATAAGCCAGAGAAGTGGAGCTATAATCAGGCTTCACCCAAGAGGCACCATTCTCCTCAACCATCTCGTACGGAACATCTTCGTAATATAGACGGCAACCACCGAGTGTGATATCCATGGTGAAGTTTCCGGGGTTTTGAAGGAATACCAAAACGCTTGAGCCTTCTCTACTGTCATCTTTATACAGGCCCGATGGATGAGGCTTAGTCGGGACTGTAGGAGTTGGGGTAGTAGGAAGGGGAGTTGTAGGTGTTGTCGGCGGCGGCCGAGTGGGAATACCACGGAGCTGGAACTCCCAATCGGTTGTCCCGTAGGTGGAAATCTCGCTCATGGGAACGCCTTGCTCCGAGGAAACGAACAGATGTGCAAATGCGCTGCCGTTGATAATAGAGTCGCGACAGTTGTCCACCTGTGTCGTGAAATCTGTTCCGCTGAAGTCGGGTACCACGAAGAGCTCATCGTCGAGGTCGTGTCCCTCATGATTGCGAAGAGGGCCAATGTAATAGGGAACGTTCCGAACAGAAGCAGTGCAGCTACCGAGCTTGATAGTCAAACTCATCAGAAACAGGTTCTCGTAGAACTCGATAGTGCTAACAGAGTCTGAACGTTCGCTACTCTCGTAGGTCCCTACAGGGTGGGCCTCATGGGCTGGAGTAGCCGGAGATCGAGTCGGGTAGGCCGGGGGTTGAGGGGGACCACCAGCAAGACCAAAAACCCAGTCTTCACCACCAACCATAGAAGCCGTCACCTCATTCATCGAGCCGCCTTCCGAAGATGCACGGAGACGTCGGAATTGGACACTTCTCACAATCGCGTCATTACAGCTGTCAAGCTTCGTCGCGAAGTTCGTGGAGCTGTAGTCGGGGACGATCCAGAGTTGGCCATTAGAGCCAGGGATCGGAGTAACGTGATAGGGAACGTTATAGGCAGTCGCGACGCAGATATCCAGCCGGATAGAAATGGAAAGAGTTTGCTGCTGTTGATGGAATATCAGAGATCCGCCCGACTCATCACTCATGGAAGTATAAAAGCTTCCCACGGGGTGGCTTATTGGTGGCGCATACGTAGTGGTAGTTCGGACCGGCGGAGACCTCGTAGTTAGGCCTGGCACGGGACGAGTGGGACCAATGGCTAACCAGCAGTTCCACGAAGACCCCCTTACACCGCCACTGATAGTGATGTCGCTCATGAGAACACCCTTGTTGGATTTGACGTGTAGACTGTCGAAGAAGTCGGCATTAATAGACGAATCTCGGCAGGCAGTGAGGCGTACTTTAAAATCAGTAGAGCTATAGTCAGGCTTGACCCAATACTCGTAGTTAGAACCGGGGATGGGAGTTATGGTATAGGGGACGTCAGAGGCCGAAACACCACAGGACCCGACCGTGGCACTGATGCGAAGCACCTGTTTATCTTCGTCGAAATCTAGACGACCACCGTACTGGTTCGATCCCCTGCAACCGTAAGCGCCGATAGGATGGCTCTCAGGAATTGCTGGGGTGGGCTGCACCGTAGTGGGAGGAGCTTGTGTAGTTGCTGGTTGCGTGGGGGCGGGGCGGCTACTTAACCAGTATTCCCATGCTGACCCGCTACCAACGTTAACAGTGATATGGCTCATTAGAACACCATCTCTCGACTCCACCCGGAATGTGTTGAAGGAGTCAGCATGGAGAGCAGTAGATCTGCAGCTACTGATGGCTGTCTTGAAGTTGGTCGAGCTGTAATCAGGTACCACCCGAAACTCGTCAGAACCGTGAATAGGCGTCACAGTATAAGGGACGTCAGCAGAAGCGCCGCACTCACCGTCAATTACGCTTATGTGAACAGTCTGCTGGTCATTAGCGAATACCAGAGTACCGCCAGATGTAGCGGACGCTCTGCAAGCGTAGGTGCCCACAGGGTGGGAAGCGCGAGCGCCTAGGGTAAGGCTTAAGCATGAGATAATGGAAGAAAGGTATCTCATATATGAAGATTGCAACAAATAACTGCCAGGAAGGGATGACACAAAAAAGTAGCAAGTCGGAACCACAGACGCCCTGCGGCCTCACGCGGAGAAGAGACGCCATACTGCGGCCTTTTCTGGAGACGGGACGCCGGGTGAATCGTGGCAACCTTGCCCAGTTGGTGGAACCACCGTAACTCAACGCCATGGTCCGTGTGGAGTGTTTATCAGTGGAACCGGGAATTGAAGAGCTGCATAGAAGTCGTCATTGTTCAGGCCCATCGATTGATACAACGGTAAGTGGTTCATTGCAGTGTTCTAGGGCGCGAAGGAGATCTGAGACGCGATGCCTCTCAGGACGAGACGTGAAGCTCAACCGACATATCTACGCTGCAGTCTCCTAAATCATAAGTTCTTTCCATGGAGACTGTGACGATGAGTGTTTTTTAGTTTCTTGTTTCTCTATCGACGCGATGAAGCTCCTATCTTTGTTCCGCTCATAGCCGCATCGACCTCCACAAACGTTTATGACAGCAAGACTATCGTATCGGTCACCTCCGCCGATGCTTTCGTCGACGTTCGGGATGTCCCAAAACGTCTCGAAGATGCCAAGGTCGCGCTCAAGCCTGGAATGGCCACCTTCCTGAAGACGGCAACTATCAAGACTTTGAAGTCCTCGGGCTTGCAGGTGGTTGCTACTTCCGAGGACACAGTGAGCTCCGACGATCTTTGTGCCTACTTGAAGGACGCGGCCTCCAAACTCTCCGGTCTGGACTGTGAATGCTCTCCTAATTTCGCCACCAAGGAAGAGGACACCAATGACGATCTCGGCGTGAATGACCCCAATGCTTTCAGGCAAAGGGCATTCAAGCGGATGAACATGGAAGAAGTGTGGAGATTATCTGCGCCCTATGTGAGGCGAACCGTCAACGTAGCTGTTATGGACACCGGCCTCAACTTCAGCGATCCTGAGATTGCTCCTTATCGGGGTACCTTTCGTAAGAAGAGTGGTGGATCCATCGATGGTGGCTGGAACTTCGTGGACGACTCCTCAAACATAACATCGGTCCACCAGCATGGTCAGAAGTGTGCCAGACTCATCGCGGCGAGGAAGAATAATCGCAACGATATGGCCGGAATGGCCTCCAACGTACGTTTGGTGTCTTTCAAAACCCAGGGAGAGAATGGTTATGGTGGATGGACACATATGGCTGAAGCCATGGATATGGCCGTCGATATTGGAGTCGATGTCGTATCAATCTCAGTGGGAGAGTTCATATCAAAGAGCTACGGCGACATGGTCCTGGGCAAGGCCTTCAAAGCAGCAACTGACCAGAATATCATTGTCGTCGCCTCCGCTGGTAACGATGGACTGCGAGCTGACGAATACTATCCATGCTCGCTGCCAGGCGTGATCTGTGTGGGTGCTCTCAGGAACCAGGACACTCTTGAAATGGCTGGTTTTAGCAACTACGGTGATAACGTCGATATAGCTGCCTATGGCTCTGGAATCTACACCGGTGCTAACAGATTTTCCTCGGGCACATCCTTCGCCTGTCCTATTGTCTCTGGAGCAGCCGCGATCTTGCTTTCTATGGGCGTTAAGCCAAAGTACGTTGCTGACATGCTCACCCACAACGTTGATCGGTTCAGTAGCCCTTCGAGGCCCATCGAGGCGCATGCTGGAGCTTTGAACCCGCTCGAAGTTGTCAAGTTGGCGATTGATTATCCTATTTTGAGAGGAACCCGCTGAAAGGCTTGAGCTCCTCGTACTTTTCTTCATAAAGAAGACCCGATTCTGCACCTCATCGCATAGTGGGGTTTGTATCCCTCTGCTTTCACATCAACCCGAGCTTTGTACTCAGCTCCTAAGCCCAGGTTTACTGGCAACTCCTAATACCAATGTCGTCGCTCAACCCGTACACGGCCAACTGCATTTAAACAGATATATTAACAACGGATTTGTTCGACACTATCCAACGGGTGGGTTGTTGCGTTCTCTAGTTCAGCAAAAGGACAATACAATGGTCTAGTTGGAACGCGTTAATCGTACATTATCGTACATTCACGCGGCCGGACCACAGCCCTACTGTGGCCGGACCACGAGTCGTGGTCCACGACAGTCGTGGTCCGTAACAGTCACTGTCCCGTTGCCGACATTGATACCAGTTAATTCTTCGCGAAGTAGACATGTGTAGAGGTACTGGTTCGGGTTGTTGTATGGAAAATAAGACAGAGTTTCACAATCTCCTAGGCGCCGTTCCGAGTATCGGTACAGTGGAGTAGGTACACATACAGTTAGTGATCGGCCCTCTCGCGGGCATGCTGAGAGAGCGAACGATCGACCATTAAGCGGCGAGAAGACGTCTGCTGCAGTTCCCGGGTGTGAGCCACGAGCTCGTCCGATCTCATCCCTACATAAGACATTCTGTTTGTCATTTAACTCCCAGGGAAGTAAGGAGGTCCTCCCTATTTGAATACTGTTTACCCATTCCCTGGGATTCCCAGGCTGGGAATGAGTATAAAGTTTCCTCAGGAAACACACCCGCGGCATAGTTCGGTACGGCTCAGTGTCACACGATACGGATTTACGAGCCTAGAGCTTCGATGGGCCTGTAGAGAAGCGACCCATCGATCCAGTTACTGTCACAAACGTTGGACATTCTTTCCGGAGTGTTCCAGTCCGCTACGTCGAGCACGGCTAGCGTAGTCTATAGCCTATATGTCTATAATATATAGTATATAGACTCTATATGATATAGGTGATGATGTAAGTATATAACGACCTGGACATGAACGACATGGAAAGTCTTCTTGAATAGTCTGACACTCAGACTCTGAGTGGCAGCCCAGCGGCTGTCCCTCATCGCAAGCAATCGTGACTGTGGGATAGGTGACTGTTTTAGAGTCTCTCTTGGTTGCAGTATTGTTGCACTTGTATCAGCAGCTGATAATCAGCTTATCCATTGTTATGTCTGAGAGCATCGACTAGGATGAAGTGCGTATGTTACTATAGCGTGATCAATTAGCTCTTGCACTGTGCACATACGTACATTATGTACGTATAGTACAGTGCTGTGTACGGTATATAGTTATTCTCCCTCTATTAGAGGGCCTCTAACAGACCTAACAAGAGTGACCACTCACCGCCCACTCCACTTTGCGGTGGATGCTGGGTCTGGGATGGACCATGCTCTCAGCTGAGATCGTCCAACGCGCTGCGCGTAACGCGGATCCCAACACTCACCACTGACGAATTGAAGACGTGTTATGGAGGAGGACGTGACTAGGAAACAAAAAGTTGTCGGGGGTCGGCTGGCGTCGTCGACGTGGCCGACCACGTTCCTGATCCAGAACCCGAGTGGGCAAGTGAATCAGAGGAAGGAAGAACCACTGAGAAGGCTGCAACTTTACATAGAACGGTCACAATAGCAAAGAGATTCTCATATCATCATAAATCACACTCGGTATATCGGATCTTCACGAAACCATCACATATCTTCTAGCACATCTTCGTGCATTATATACTCTCACTCTGTGGAGAATGAAGTACAAGGTTAAACGAAGGTCGGCAATCCACTACAATAATAGCAGAAGGCGTGGAAGGACGTTACCAGTGTAAACGCCTCCTTATGGAGACATGTGAAGAAATGATCATTGTGCAATTCGATCATGGATAGTTCGGTTGTCAGTCGTGTTTACTAACGTACTCAACCAACAGTTCATCTATTGTTTGGAGAACCGTTTCGTGAAAAGAAATCAGGCGAAGCAACAGAAACGACACTTTTCGCTATATTTTTACGCTAATGAGCAGTCAACAGGGAACAGAATGATACCCTGTTTGTCTTCTGAATCGCCCTGGTTGGGACGGAATTTTTGCTCACGCACGGACGGATGGACGGACGGACGCACACACACGATTATTCGTGCGCAGTAACGTAAGTTCCGCTCGCAAATTTTCAACATTCCTCGTAAATCAAGAGGTTACAAGAGTTCATTAACGAGGGCGGATGATTAGACTACCAGAGGATGGCAGTGATCGTAGGGCGTAGCATCATGCTACTAGCATGAGTGTTATATTATAACACTCATTCAAGTGTCAAACTTAGATGAGATAGTGTCACACGAGTACAGGGTGTGTCGAAGTTGGCTATGTCTTGTCAGACTTGGACCCAACAAACCAAAGGTGTGTCAAAGATGAATGCATATTGTCAAACTTGCACCCGATATTGATTCAGTGTGTCAAACCTGAGTACGTATTGTCATTTTCGTACGTGAAACTGACATAGTAACTTGTCCCGTACGCACACACATAGTCGATTCCCGTAGCGGACACCAAATTTTAGGACTTTGAGTAATTTAGGGCGCAGCGAGGAATTCTGGGGCGCGGATGGTGGCGCGCGCTGAAGCGGCGACAAAGTAGTTTTACTTTGGCAATACATGGAAGGTAACAGTGCAGAGAAGTGGTGACAGTGACGATTCTGTGTTGTCAGAAGGAGCAATAGACCACACGAAGGCGGAGGAGGCCGAGGGCGAGTTTAGCCTCTATAGCCTCTTCAAGAGAGGGCTGCTTACTGACTGTATACTAGTGGTACCTAGGGAGAAGAAGGTGCGGGTAGAGGAGGAGGGGGAAGAAGACGAAGAGGAGGAGGAAGGAAATAGCGGAGATTTTAAGCTACATAAATTGGTACTAAATAGTGACAATCTGGTTAAGCCGGTGATGAGCGGTCTATGTCCTGGCATCTTATAGCCGATACTGCTA